TCTCTCTCTCTCTCTCTCTCACCAGTTTGGTTTGGGCGCGTGCCAGTGTGTGTTGAATCGAAACGATTCGAATGCAAAATAATAATAAAACAGTGGGGCTCGTTGAAGGTGGGTGCGGTGGGCGTCGGGGGTGGGAGAGTGGGTAGACGACAGAGAGGCGGAGTCGGCAGCGCATTAACGCAATTAACCTCCAATTAATAACACATCAATTGACACCCGGTCAACTTGTTGCATCAGAGCAGGCCGATAATATGCTGAACGCGTGTGAACCGTGTGTGTACGTACACGATGGGCCGCCGTGTGCGGTGTGCGCTGCCGACGCGTGTGAGTACCCCGACGTACGTTTTGCTTGCGCGCGTGTGCGCGTGTCTACACGTTTGCGCTTAGGCAAGACCACGGACGTGGTCGTGTTTGTGCGGTTGCGGATGCGTGTTACGGCTACGAAGTATGTCTATCCCCCTTATACTATATATTATCGTAGGCATAATGACGAAACGAATGTTACAATAATTTTATATATCGAGAGGGTGAAATCGGTACGTGCCTAAGCGTCGTACGTGCCTATATGCACGATGGACATGGACTGATGACCACAGTCGAGTTCCCATGCAACCCCCTGCGAACACTCTCACCACATGACACCTACAGGGGGTGGAATTCCGATGCACATGCCACTGTTGTTACCTCAACAACGCCATGTGGAATACGTACACCATGTGATGCTCACGTAGGAATCTTCCTTCATTTCTTTGGCTGTTTCACAAGGGGAAACTAAAAATTGTGTACACGAGAATATAACGGAATATAAGCTCAAACATTCACAAAATTTGCTCGCAGAACGATTGCATCGTTCTTGAACTGATATTCGACTTGCGATTTTTCATACGTCGTCATCTACTTAAAAAAATGATTACTTATTGTAATATTACCTTGAAGTTTCATCGAGAGTTCCCCATGCGTTAACTATCCTATGTATTACTTGCGGACCCTATCACTATATGCACTATAATCACGCTTTGAAATCTACCCACCTGCTTAAATGATAAATATCGTATGACGTGCAGGAAATGGTCATTGGTGACTTACCGATGTGTTTTTCTTGTACTTTAATAATCGCTGATTCTCTATTACATATTGGACTTGAAGATGACTTTGTATGCTTAATATATACAATTAACTTCCATAATTTATTTATGAATTGATTCTTCGACAATGGAAAATTTTTTTCGTACACCATTCTCTCATTGTGAGAAAACAATTAACATTTTAAAATGAGAAACAAAGACAAGTATTATTATGTATTTTTTTAATTTAAATTTGCGAGTATCTCTGCCGAAAAAATCGGTCATCAGATACTAACAGCAGTAAGACCATGTGCATTACCCCCCGCGCTTACTTTGGTGAACGCACTCCTCGCGTGTAATTAGTTCGTCGCGTCTACTTCCGAATTGACACAACAGTGGGAGAGTTCCTGAAGCCATTTCCGGCAGGGCACCGGCACCTTTTTGTTTTCCCCTTCTCGTCCCACGCATGACAGCACATGGGGAAGTACCGATCAAAAACGGGAAAGACAGAAGTTCTGACCCCCCTCGAAGCGTCCCTTCCTATCCAGGTACAATCGTCGTCCCGTAGACCTTATCGAGGTCGACACCATATGTCACTTCTGGAGTAACGAGTAGCAAGCGCTGCACCCCTCTAAAGTAATTGCCAACGGAACTGCCTAGTAATTTCTCGGAACGAATCGCTCCTCTTCGAGGAAGCGGCCGAGAACGCGCTAACTTGGCATAATTGAACGTTTACGTAATAGTGATTCAAGTGCGCAATGAGGACGTCGATGATACTTCAAATACGCGCGCGTATTTGCTCGTATTTCAATAATCTATCTTCCTGTTACGCAATTTACGGTTCTTCGGCCTTCAAGAAAGAAAAATGTATTATGTTTGTGATAGGTACCGTAACTTTGTTCAACATGCTTTATTTCTAACATCATATATTATACTATATAAAAATTGTATTATATATATATATATGTTTTATATATATGTTTTATATATATATATATATATATATTTGTATATATAAATAATATAATATTAATTTTCATAAAGACTTGATCTTGATAAATCAAAATAGAGAAAAATTTTATTTTTATTTGTAGAATTTTAATTTTTATTAAACTTTCTTTACTTTGTAACACCTCACGCATTGTTCTCTACAAGCTCTTTTGACTTCATGATACGTATTGGAACGAATATCGAGATATCCTCGTACGCAGGAGGTTTATGCGTAGACGAACTATGGAATATTGTCGGCTTATTGAGCGCAGGTGCTTTAAACTGCTCAGCTGTTGCTTCGAATCTCGCGTACATGTACACAAACGTGTGTGTCCGTGCACTGTATTAGTACGTATTCAAACTCTATACCATAACGCATACGTGTTACTACACAAACGTCTCACTTACGCACTTATACGCAGCGTCAATTGAACTGCATGATGATCGAAACTTCTAAAAGGCCGTACCATTGACGAATGAAGAGCGATTATTTGTGTGGAGATTACAATAAAAAAGGATTCCATTAAAATATTTCGTGCCGAGCAAATAATTGTAACGACAATAACGAAATATTGTCGTTTCATTATGATTTTGTAATGAAGTCGGTATTAGCGAGCGGCAATTGTATGAAAATAAAATGAAAACGTAAAGATCGACTCTATAT